CAAAGGGTCTAGACAGATAGATGACCGCCCCTCTCGCATCTCATAACCTCCGACGTTTTTAAGGTGGTGCAAAGTTGCGAGTTTCGCAAGACAAGGAACACGGGAATATGACGAAAAAAGACGGGCGGGATTCCGTTCGCGGTAATGTCCATCGCGGGAAGATCACGAGGTAGCAGTTAAGAAAGGCCATGCAGAATATGCAGAAGATGCAGAATACCTACCCACCTTCACCTCGCACATTGCGGTACACCCCAAGTGACTTAACCGCAATGTGAAGCGTGAAAACACTTGTAATATACATAATATACACCGTGGACCCCGCCGCTTTCCATCCAGCCTACCATCTAGCCCATCTAATAGTTTTATCTCACTACATATTGCATGCGTTCTCAGGGGTTTATCATCGTTTGGACGTTGCACCGCAGCCGCTTGTAGACCTCCCGTTAAACATCTCTCGTACGACCTGTTAAAGCTCACCGTACCTTAGGCAGTAAACAGCAAAGCAACTAATGTACCTCTAACCTGCTTTTCTGCTTTTCCTTTTAAATCCTCCACTCTGACAGGACCGGTATCCTGAGCTCGAAACTGATATTTTCTGGCTTCTAGATCTTGTCTAGCTTGAATGCCTTTTTTTTTGCTTTTTTTTTCAGGACGACGGTTTGGCTACCCTCGCTGCACATATACGGAACAGAGAACGACTTATTCTTCGCAGTGTAGGAGGATTTCCAACCTCATAAAGACAATCAATCAACGCATCTAAACACTTTCATCACAACCTCTAGACACTAGCTCGTCTATTATACCTAATAGGCAACGCTGACTACGTAGCGCATCCCGCAAACGTTAAGGGTCGGCTTGATTTGGCCTGGTTACCGCACCCCTGGTCAGGGTTCTGGGGTTAATTCCTTGCTGGATCCCTTCGCGTCGCGACTTACATACAAGTACAGCTACTTCACATCACGGCTCACGCCATAAAAAGTCGTGGTAGCGGTGTCCGGAGTAAATAACCGCAGTACCAATATCATCCGCAATCATATACACCCATTTATTTAATATAGCAAGCCAGGATAGGTGATAGTTTGACTGCATTTATCCATTGGCGCTCCCAGGAAGGCTTTGTGCAGTGCAGCCCGTTGATCAGAGTTTCGGGTCACCCCGTCGAACCGCTACGTTGGGATCTATCCGCCCGCCTTGTATTCCGTTACCGCATTCCCGTTCTAGGAAGGCTAGTGCGAACGGCTGGCGTCTATCAGATTCCATACTTGGACGCATTAAGTTACCAACAGCAGCAATAAGGCCAGCCGAACGGGTTTTAATAGCATTAGCAGGGCAGGGCAGGGCAGGGCAGGTTTAATAGGTGTCCCCCCAGGTGTCCGTTCAAGGAAAGCAGCGGTGTGAGAACAAACTGGCGCACGCTAAGGGGTAACCCTTGTCTAAACAAGGAGGGGAAATAGAAGCTGGGTGCCCAGAGCCTTGGGTCAAGCCATCGGCATCGTGATTAGCTGACGGCTACCCCGTCATCTGAACCCGAAGGACCTTGCACGCTTGCGTTGCGTGCATCAGGTGCCTATTAGCCCCAGCTTGTACAAACCATCCATCTAACGTGACCCCCATGCCCTGAGGGTTAACGACGGAAGTGGAGGATCCTGGCGGCATTGTAGAGGTACAATAGAGGAAGAAAAAGCATCCACGCGTACCTACACCACCCTCCCCAGACGTGCGGTGTTGTGCTACGTACTTTGGAACTTGTCAGTTTGGGTCTCAACCGAACTTCCCGTTGGCTGGATTAACATCCGGCAAGCAACCTGAAGCACAAGCTCGAAGGGAAAGGGGGGGTAGAGGGAAAGGGTGAAAAAACAAGAAAAAAAGAAAAGAAAAAAGAACGGGAACGAAACGAAGAGGTGGTGGAGGAGGAGGAGAAGAGAGAAAGTAATAAAATAATAATAATAACTACAAGAAAGTCAAGCTGACCGCCCCACCACCAAACATAATAATACCTACTGGCTGACTCGCATCGGCCAACCTTTTCAACCTTATCCAGAGAGTTACTCCTTCATCTACTCGATCCAACGGGTACCCTATTGCATCGCATCTACAAATTGCATGCAGCTGTGAACTTTCTCGGCAACTTCACGGGGGCCCTCTGCGGTACATGTGCAGCCAGCCCGAGCCCGGCAAGCCGATCAGCCTACCAACAGCCTACCCGAAGTGTTCCACGCCCTCGGGACAAGCCACGTTTGCATTATTTGAGAAAATCAGACGCCAGCCTCTGCAAAACCAGGCATCCTTGGATTCGTTCTAACATCGGTCAGCCGGCTCTCCTACTCAATCCGGTTTAAGGAGAGCAAGCGAGCCGCGTCGAGTAGCAACGATAATATAAAGGAATTGGATTTCTTACGACTACTTGCTAGCCTTGCGGCACTTGGAACTATAATTACATTTACCTATCCTACTTGGATCTGTACGTCACCGCCAAACGGACCGAGCGAAAGGATCGGTTCGGCTAGAAATCTCTTTTTTTTTTTTTTTTTTTTTCGCGCCGCATTGTTACCACGCGAGTGGCACAGTAAGAAGCCTTCGCATACGCAACTAAAAATAACGGATCAAGAAAAAAAAAACATAGGTTTTTGAATATCCCGAGCGTGGCGCTCCTCTTTTCCAAGGCAGCCCCAAACAACAACAGAGTTAGCCGCTTTACATACGGTAGACTTTACTTACCTACGTGCACGCAAGACGCAAAACGCAAAACGCAAAACGCAGCATCAGCATCGCCACAGTATTTAGCTGTCTTACATTCTACTGGACACGTTAGCGCAATACATTTTCGTAAATAATTTGTAAGTGGTACACATGACCTATAAACCTGCAATATACCTATACACGTATCTTGCCAACAAATACTTACATGTTGGTATATAGGCTAACTAACCTAATATATGTAAGTGAACATCGGGTTTTATTTATTTTTGAGTCCTAGGAGTTGATGGAAAGAAGTGAGGAAAGAAAAAAGATAAACAAAAAGGCTTACCAGTTTATTTTATTCTTTAAGCCCCAAAGCTATCTGCAACATTTAAAAGGCAAACAACATTATCGCTCAACAAGCGCGCACACGCATAGAAGGACACACAATACAACAATACTACGCACATAGGTACCTATATTGGAAAGAAGGGCGGTCATTCCACCGAATCAGATTGGGTCCTTCCTTCTGCGGCCCGTTCTGCGACCTGTTAGGCCTAACCGTTCTGACGGGATTCCGCCATTGCCCATTAGGCGTAAGGTACTAGCCTAAACTTGGACTTGATTGGAACAAAAACAAGCCCTTCCCAAAAAACCAATACCCCCGGCTCCAAAGGTTATTGTCGTTCCAATTGGGAACATCATACTACGCACTGCGCATACTGCACATACTGCACATGCTGCACTTTCAACCATAACTCCCGTGCGACACGACCTTTCTCTCACCTTCTCTCTTCCTAGAATACATTCTCGTCGCATACCGTCACATAGCGTCTAAAGTTTTTAAGGCTACTACTGTGCGAAACAAAATATACATTTACCTAAAGCACCCGTCGTCGGATTGACTTCAATCGACCTCGTCGTCGAGTTTTCGGTGTGGCAGAGCACTCAAACAACTCTCTATCTCTTTTACACACTCACATACTCACACACACACACATCTCTTAATCCATCGGTCAATCCATCGGTCAATCCATCTCATTCCTCCGTCTCACTAAATCTTACCAACGCTCCGGCAGCAACTGGACGAAACTGCCTTTGCTAGTGAGATCATTCAGCTTTTACCTTAGCCACTCTGCAAGTAGACAACTTTTTTTTGTGTTTGGTTAGCGACTCAATAGCCCATGCCAGGACGGTGCTATCGGTCGCCAACTCATCCACACGCAGACACACCATCCTCTCTATCCGCAGTAGTTCATCCGCCGTCGGTTCCGTTATTTTTCATTCTGGTCCACCGGCACGAATCACCGGCACGAATCACCGCTCTCATTAGCCCACCCCGGAAAGGAACGCTGCCGCTAGTAGGGCATTAGCTCTACCTATGCGCAGTCATTCATTCATTCATTCAAGAGAAGAAAAAAAGGTACGTTTCTCTACTTCATTACTTAGCGTCTCTGCGTTAGTCGAGTACTACCTGAAACTTTGCCCATCCTATGTCGGGCGCGGCAAACCATCGCTCGAATCAACTTACACCGAGTCACCTGAGCCCTCTTGGGCATTTCCAACGCCTCCACACTCGAAGACAACCTCCCAGTCTTCCAAGTCTTCTCAGTCGTCTATTCTCTCATTCCCGTCCCCATAAACCTTGCACCTGCGGGCCCCTGCTCCGCTCACAGAACTGGCATATCCGCATTGTTTTGGTGTCCCTGTCCCTGCCCCAACATCTAGGTGAGCTAGGTGACTAGGCGCACATACACGCACATACATACGCCCACCATACGCCAATATACATATACATATACATATACATATACCTGTATCCATGCGAGCTACGTATCCCCTAACGTATCAGCTCGCAGTAAGTTTTGCCTGTTCGAACCCTCCCCCCCTAGCAATAAAGCTGGACTGGTCCTTCACGCGGCATCAACCTACCTACTACATAAACCTACCTCCTTGTTTGTTCATAATATCACTTGTTGGTTGTTAGCTGGACTCATTGGCTAATTTTCCTGCCTTTGCAAGCTTCGTATCCTCAGACAACAGGTTAGTTCCGCTTGGAGTTGTATATCGCAGACCTCTGCGATGGTGTATATGCGTATGTGTCTTTTAATGAGATTCATGGGCTGGGCATGATCATTATCATTTCATCAATCCATCGCATATGGATATTCTTCGTTATTCGTTTAGACCCTTCCTAGGCCCCCGTCTCATTCCCTGACTAGAACGTGTCTATATTTTATTATTTTTATCGTTTTATTATTATTATCGTTTTAGCTCCGCTACTTTATTTCACTCGGGTTCATTCCAGCTAACAGGCTAGCTAGGCTCTTCCAAGATTCTCTTGCAGCAGCCCCCAAGGGTCATCCCGCAATTAAATTATAGAAAACTGAAGACCCCGTCTCTTCCTCCCGGCACTACAGACTCCGCCATCTGTGCTGTTGTTAAGGTTCTTCCCCTTCCACCAACGGTTGGCCCCGCCATTCCACCTAAATTTATTGCGCCGTCATTCTACGTGCAGTTATTAACTTTTCTGCTCTCTCTCTCTCTGTTTCCTTTACTCTAACACAATTACGTTTTCCCTTTGGCTTCTATAATTATTACCGGCATCGTCCCTCTACAAGCTCCTACTACTCTCTAGTTACATGTGTTGCCAGCGAGTTCGATAATCTCTCAAGAAATCGGTTCGGTATATGCGCAACGAACAGTTTATAGACTTGACACTTGTCACGGCCTAGTCTCGTGAATTATCTCAGCGTCCGAAGAAGAAAAAATTCTGACATGGTCTTTGACCGTTGTACTACTCTATCTCGGAAAGCGCGCACTTAACAGAATAACATAAGGTCAACCGGGGGACTAAGTCTCGAAACATATCCTGCGTCAGACACCAATATAAATCACCTCCTAACTACTACGCGGTTACTGCTCTCGTACTTCGCTCTGGCGCCCCCAAGCGTCTGTTAACGTAGCATGGCAGAAGACCGTCGACATAGAGGACAGCAGCCAAATCACGACCAAAACGACGAGTCTCAGTATCCTCCAGTTCCCGGTGAGGAAGACGATCGTACGAGAGTGATTGCCTATCATTCCCGGCCACAAATGGCTGCAGGGGCAGTAAGATTGCCCTCTATGCAAGATCCCTATGCCCAGCCTGCTGGTGCTAGAGGTTGGGATCCAAGAAGCAGCGGCTACGGACCTTCACCTAGTTCTACAAATGGATACCCTCCTCCGCTCGCCGCAACAGCGCCTCCAAGTACTGGCTACTCTCCACCAACCGGTGGCAACGCCTACCCTCCTCCGGCCAGCCATCCGCCTTATCTTCCTCCAGTTCACGCCCCAGCTCCAGATCCCAGGGCCAGCTATCCGCCTCAAGATCCTAGGGCACAATATTTCGCTAATTACAACTCCCCGAATCCGTACGAGTTCGCATACCGGGGTGACCGTGGTGCCGTAGGGCAATACCCCGAATTCGCGAGAGGTGGACCTGTAGGAGCTGCTGTGATGCAACAGTCTGCCCCTCGCCAGCGAACCTCAATTGCCTGTAGATACTGCAGAAGAAGGAAGGTAAGAGTGCACTATACGAATGGGCATATTAAAATGAGCTCTAAGGAAGACTAACAAAGGGCTTAGATTCGTTGCAGTGGATATCAGAACTCCCCAGGAGGAAAATGCACGAACTGTATCAAGATGAACCAAGAATGTGTTTTTCAACCGGTCTCCTCTTCCTCGTCCACCGCGTTTGTTCCCGTTTCGGCACTACCAAACGGCATTCCGCCGGGAACTCAACTATTTGGAGCATATGGTCAACCATTAGCAGGTCCATCAAGTCTTCCTGCAGGTGGTGCTTATCCGGCTACGAACCCACAATATGACCAGCCACTACCATCGCCTACCAACTCGTACGGTTCTTTTTCGGAGGAGAGGTCTGATGCAGGAAGGCGGCGACCGAGACCTTCAGATGAGGAGCACGGCGTACGATTACCGCCACCGAGCACGTTTCCGGACGATAATCCTCGGCGGCGATCTCCTTCGTCCAGCGGCAGCCCAAGTCACTTGCAACCGTTATCACAACTACAACCTCAGCCCGTGTCGTATGTTGGGTACGATAGCAGAACGCCGCCGCCGAGAGGCAGCCCATCCGGTCCTCCGGCAGCGCATCATAATACGAGCTCTGTGATGAGTCTAGAAAACATAATGGGCACTGGTCCTAGCCCTAGCAACGATATCGATCAGAAAATGCTGGGGCGGCTGAATCGGCGAACACAGCAATAGGACTACTAGTTTCCACGGAAGCAAGCATACAGCGGAGGAATCAGCGGAACTTGTTGAAAGAAAGACCTCGGGAGGGGTCGGGAAATTAGATGGCTGCTGGCGGCTTGTTGGAATGATAAATCGGTGATGAATTCTGGGTGTCCTAATCGGTTCCCAATCTATGAGGATAGTGCATCTTTAGGCAGCATTTGCATTTCGTTTATTGGGGCGGCGGCTGCGAGTCCAGGGCGTATTGAGCGGAAATGGGAGAACGGGGCTGCTCGAAAGATTTCCTACCTACTTAGATGACTAGTTTGGCGACAAACTTCGATCATGGCATCCTTATCTATTTTCTACGGCGGTTCTACATATCGTTTTAATCTCTTAAAAAGACGCCCACTCGATTCGAATACGAGAAGGGATGAGAAGATTGGTTCGCCTCGCGGCAAAAATCCGAATTTTGGTGGTTACTTTTGTTTTTATTGCGCGTTTGATTTTCTAAGCGTTGTCTTTTGCGGTGCCTTCATAGTATAGCCTATAGGTTATAACCTAGACGAATTAATGCTACCTTGCTACTTACTGTCTTGAACAAACAAGGACCTTTGAAAGTGACATTCCACGCGTTTAAAATGCTGTGCAGACCAATGATGCAGATAGGGACATTCTAGGTTATATGTTTTGCTTTACTCTAGATAGCTAGCGGTAATATCCGCGGTAGCCCCTAAGAGATAGGTTAGTAAGGTATAGACGAAGACGTGCTAACTCCATGCCGTAATGTCTACCTAACGGCCGAGGGGATGACGACCGGGTTCGAAATTCAGGGGACGATGATATGGGTGGCTGCGCTGAACTAGGGCCAGCGGGACCCCCTTGAGGTGGATACAGGGGGCCAAGGTTTGATAAGAAAGGGCTGGAATTTGTTGGCAATTCATGGCCATGGATGATGGTATGGATGGTATTGGATGGTATGGATGGTATGGATGCTACTGTACCACTTTGCTCGTAAGTCGCGGAAAGAGATCCGGCAGGTTCGCCGATTCAAATTTGACGTTGACAGCGGTATCCCGGTCGCCGTTGCGTTCTGGGGGAGTTTAGCGACGCATTACACGCATACGCCAGCAACGTCGTGACCTCGCACTGGCATTGCTCGCGCCTAGGCTAGGCAAAGGAGGGGAAGGGGATGGTCCTTGCTCAACCCGGCATCTCCGTCGAGCTTGAGCCTTGAGGCGAGGTGCAAAAACTCGCCGATAATCTATTCTGCGGGGACAGTTCGCTAAGATACGCGAATGGGCATTCTATTACCTATAGACTGGGTAATATAATATTCTTAGGTACTTAGGTAAGATGGAAAAGTAACGATATTAGCTATAGTTAATATATATATTGAAACTTGATTCATCTCTTTATCTACATATGTAGGGTAACTATAGTGTAATACAACAATATACATAGTAAGTTCGCTCGAGTACCTTACCACGTGTACCTACACGATAACTCGACACGGCAAAGGCTGACCGGCTTCGTTGCGAAGTCGAGGCCGTGATATGAAAGCGTTCTAGCTCCCGCGGAGCCCCGATACGCGAAGGGACCCTTGACTACGCAGGATGGTAAACAAGTTACAAGGCAGACGGAGTGTATCGACTAGCTGTTAGTCAGCCCCCCAAAAGGAAGAGCTAACTGCTAGTTAGTTGGGATACATACTTCGTATTAACAATGTACACTTTTTGCAAAATGCCGACTTGTGGGTTTGTTTTTCGTAGCGGTTGATTTTTTTTTTTTTTTTTTTTTTTTTTTACTTTATAGTGGGATTACAGAGTCGGGGCAATCCCTGATGCGCAGGCCTAGAGGCTAACAGCCCGACGCGCACAAACATACAGAATCCTTCGGCGGCGGCGGCGGCGGTGTTGTGTATATAGATAGATACCTAGGTAGGCAGTGTATGTATGGAGTGTAAGACTCGACACCTTGCTGCTGTAGGCTAAGGGGCTCGGACTTGAGGGGGCTCGTTGTCTCGCCTTTTAACAGACTTACATGCATACAAACAAACTATGTAGGTAGGCTGCTAGGTAGATCAAGTATCATAGGCTGTGTTTTATTTTGTCTTTCGTTTCTTCGGCCTAGCGTGCAGAATAGCGAATCGAGTCATCACCGACGGACCCTGAGGAACAGAACTCCAGTTTATTACACATATGGTACCACATATATTGCAAGTATCGACGTATGTACTGTATTCTATTCGAGGCTAAGATCACGACTCCACGAACTACATTGTGGGACGTAGCGGATGACGCCACGTACCGTACCGAAACTTTACGTTTGTTTGTTCTCCATCGCTCGGTTCGGGACTTTTTTTTCTTTCTCGCCTATTAATCCTTCCCTCCCCTTGGAAAATTGACTAGGTCGAGATCGTGGCCGCCCTGGGAAGCCAGCCGGAAGAGCCTATCTAACACGCTGGTGCTGGTGCGGGTTGAAGCCAACGAGGCGGGATTCTTCCGCCGGACAAGGCACCTTTGTACCTAAGCCTTCTCTCCCTAGCTAGACTAAAAAAGCCTACTATTACTACTGTACACCCTGCCTTGCTAGAATTAGGGTCTGCGTATTTTAATAATAACCAACCACTAGGACTAATAATAATAACATCTACCAATCTTGAGAGGACTGACTGTAACGTACCCAAAGTACACTTGTAATTCTTACTATTACTACCGAATTCTCCCAGCATATGACTTCGTCGGCAAATTCTACCTGGGATTGTTAGATTCTATACCTCAGATACACGGCGCTCGAAGGTCACAGATGCAAACTTAATGCTTACTTGGGTAGCCTAGAGTCTATTGATGTTTTTTGCGATCTAGGGTAATAGCTAATACCACAGCGCGCTCCCGGTGCTCTCCCACGGACGGACGCGTACGTTCCAATTCGAAGCCAAACTCCCGCCCCATCGTCTCGACAGTAAAGTAAATTCGATGGCGTCGAGCAAATACCTCCTTGCCGTGTTTCTCGAGTACTTGCTACGAATTCGATGGGCATCAAACAATACCAAGCTAGAATCGCGTAACAGCTAGAGCCGATAGTCTATCGAATACACCCGAGGCTTTGGCAGAGTAAAGTCGGACAGGACAGTAACACCAACTAAAACGATAAAACAATACCCATGACTCATACCAGGCTGCAAACCGACGTCCCTTCGATAATTACGAGCTTCTCGCATGGATACAGGGCGGGCAAAGGAATAAAAACAAACTTGTAGAAATACAACCAAATACATTAGGGGAGAATTCGTAGCAAGGCTGGCGTTTTGGCTATGGGTATGCGACATACCGTATTAGAACCTACATATTTTCCTAAAACAACAATGGGAGAGGCTACGAAGCCATCACGGACTCGCAACTTTGTTGTTGTATACCTACGTCTCCTATAGTAGGGTCATATCAATGCTGGAATAATTAAACAAGCGGTCCTCTATAGACAAGGGAGCTCGGATTCTATTATCGCTGTTCGAAGAACCGAGAGGGCTAGACAAACTTGAGGTTTGGATTTCTTGCATTCGCGCCCCGGTCCAAGTAGAAGAGGTAGTTCCTCTTTTGTCACCCCAAGTAAAATGGAGTTGGCACGCTTGGACTTTCTATTCGAATAATACTTGGAAGCGGAAAGGCCTGAGGACGTTTACGCCGACAGTAGCATACTACGTTTCCCCTCTATCAACCAGGCTAAGCTTGATTTAATGGACAATGTCGCGTTCGTTGTATGATCCATAGACCATCTACCTACCTTGTAACTCATGTACTAGCAAGTCTGCTTCGAACCTGCGTTAATTCGGTTGGGATTAGAGTCCCTTAAGCTAGTTTCAATATACATAACACCGAAAGCAACGACTGAGTAGTCTATGTCTATTACAGGAAGGTAACAATAGGGCTCGTCAATGAAGAGGGGTAAATGAGATGTTTCGCAATGGCCCAACAAAGCCCCTCATCCAGGTATAAACAAATACCTACTACCTCTTAGGCCACGAGGACACTGCTTTGCAAAAGGTCCTTTAACCTTGGGCGTTTTAGGCTAGTGTCCGTGAGCTATTACGGGAGATAGGTACTTCAAATCATAAAAAGGCAACTTTGGGTTCGGACCGCTATGGCTTCGCAGGGGCGTCTTCTCAACCGTCGGACAACATCATGACGGAACGGACCAGATGTGACGTTTGACATACATTCCTAACATTCCGGGCCGATTAAGTGTTTCCGTGGCTAAATTTATCAGTAGTCAAGGCCATGTACCCCTTTATTGTTGAATAAGTAGATGTCATGTATCATAAGTAAATAGGTAGGTAGGTAGTAGGTATCTTGGTTCTGAAGTCAAGCGGCCTTAGCTGTATAGGTAACAAGGACTACTTGCCTGCAGTATAATCCTAGGCTGTTTGAAAAGCTTCGCTAGTCCCTCAATAGGGCATTTGAAAGCAATTCCCTTAGTAACTTACGCCGAGGTCCTTAGCATTCCCCTTCAGACTGTGGCGGTTACTTGCCAGGAGCGTCTACCTGTCCAAGAACTATATTAGGTATTGCTCTTCTGTACTACCCTTAAGTGCCCATGTAGGTATTTGAAAAGCCATCATTCGAAAACTAGAACGCTCTTTCAGCTTTCCCAGCTCTTCCTGGGGTACGAACCCTTCCTATTTCGGGGTCGAAGATTATTACTATGTTACATTCTGGGTCAGTCCTTACTCAACTCAGTCAACCCAAGTTCTCAGTGAAACATCAATACAAGTAGCGAATCGTTCTGTTATGATGTGAATGATATATCTTAATGCTTAGGTCGCGGTATAGGGATGATATCTTGGTACAGAGTCGTCTTGCCGTCATACTACTACTTCGTATCAAGTAATGCCAACAACTAATATCTTCGTAGATAATGATTTTGTTGAAACTCGCCGCTGGTCTTTTTTTCTTTCGACTACCTAGTCTCATGTCTACGTGATAAATCATGCACATAGGTCATACATGAATATCCCATGACAGTGCTATACGCAGCAAATTTCAGAGGCTCCTTCGTAGTTTCAGAGCCGTTTGTAGAAATGGCCTTAAAAAGATGGGAGATAGATAAAATATCCTCCAGTGGTAGTTTGGGAGTGAGTTTGCATGAGCTCTTCTCTCCTGCTAAGCCGTCATCGAACATTAGTGACCCGCATGCCGAAGGCGCGTCGAGATAGTTAGCATAGCCATAGATTACACGAGCAAGATCTAGGCGACTTTACATACAGCCTTTGCCTATTACGCAGAGATAAATTATCGGCATAATCTCGATACAAGCTAAGGGTCATACAACTCCTGCACACCAGCCGAAATTCCATATTTTGAAGTTGCCAAGACATGATGAATATTCACCGCGGGACACACGCGTATGTATTCTTTTCTTAGGTCTAGTTGCCGAACGGACATGAGAAATTGTATTCAATAAAGTAGCAGTGTTGCGTACGGCTGCTTTTATTCTTATAGTAGAAGGGCGTGGACCTATCTTAGTTCTTGAAGATAGACAAGGCAACAGTGGAGGCTCCGGCGAGTTATATGCCGAAATAATTATTATTTTCTTAATTACTAGAGGCATTATTAGTTCTAAGTAGTAGTAGTAGGAACGCATCGATGCCAAGTGGAAAGAGAGGAGGGTACGAGATGGGCAATCTGAAATAGGAGTAATAAAAATAAATATGCAACGAAAAAATGACAAACCGAATGTCATACAGGCTGTAAGCACTGTTGGTAATTAACTGGTTGGGTCATTAAAAAGAAAATACAAAAAGCTCAGTCCTAGGACCAAACCCCCTCGAGGGGGTTCAAATCCAGAACCTACGAAAACCCTAACAACTGGTTGATAAGATTTTACTGACCGGTACTGGCAACCTTACCATTAAACCAACGGGGATGGCTTAATGGATTCAGCAGTCAGGCCCAGGCCGAAGGAACAGTCTGTTGCTATAGTATATATATCATGTTTCCGGTGCTTGTGGGTGTACGGGCCCACCTGTTGCTACGGAAAACTGTCAGGTACGTATTGTAATTATGCCGGGCAGTCGTCGCGGGGGATGTTCGTGTGGGCGTACTACGAGTCGATGCTCTTTCGTCAGGCTTTCACTACATCCGAAGAAACCAGCAATGCCTATATTTCTCAGCTCTCTAGCCTCGTGACACAATATATGCACTTGTGTAATGGCATGTCAATCCAGGCTACATTGATGCTGTAGTTCTCTGTTGCTTGTAGTATAGCTTCTGGGCATGCCGGGGCATAATCTTTTCGAAGACAATCAGCATTTCGTTGACACAGGTATGCATATTTTTAGCATAAGGGGGAATGTTTGACCCAGGCATTACATTTTATTATATGTATGGTAGATTATGGCCCTCTGATACTCCCTATTTGTCTATGGGTTAACTACAAAGGCACCACCTAGTAGTATAGCGGGCTCGTGTATGTTATGATGGTCGTAGCTAATAGCCTCGCTGTTAATATTATTCTATGTTTGGTCCAAGGAAAAGTCACTTACCTCAATATTCCAACACCACCAGCTTCTAGTAAAAATGTTGGGCCATCCTGCAACGCCTTATCTACCCACCTCATAGCGAAAGCACGCAGTATATGACCATGCGCTACGATCAGGACGTCCCCAGGTGATTGGTCCTCTGACTTGGGTTTGCCGATTACGGGCGCGTGCCACACTTCTCGAATCTCTTTGATCAAACGGTCCACGCGCTTCGTGACGTCGTCAGGGCTCCTTCGAATGACATTAGCTCTTCCCTTATACTCAGTTTAGGGCTTTTGATGAGGCTAATTGCAACTGTCGGCGATTCTATCCTTGCCGTTGACTGATTAACTCGGGGCTAGTGACTTACTCTCCGCCGACACACCCGTCCCTCCAGATGTCCCATTTCTGAGTTAGACCCTGCTTGGCGCGAATCTCGCGAATCTCGGCACTTGTTATTCCCTCGTAGTCGCCGTAGTCCCATTCGCGGATGTCTTCAGTAACCTCGACCCGCGCATTGCAAAGTTGGCTGGCGTCAGTGGGTTTTTCACCGTGAATCTTCCACGGCAGGGGATCCGCAATACCGAGGTTGAGTAATTCAAAGGTTCTCTGGGCTCGCTTTCGCGGTGATACATATCTAAGGGAAAATATGATCAGCACATGAGCGTAATTCGAGCTAGTCGCTCGAATTCACCACTGACGGGTTATGGTGAAGTGTTGCTACTGTCTATGTTTTCGCCCTATGTTAGAGTGAGCTACCACTTGGTGCTTTGTGTTATACAGCTTTCACTATAATACTTATAGCGACAACAAATTTAGCTCGAGGAACAAACTCAAGGGGGGATAAATGGTTTAGAGTTAGGGTAATCTTAGTATCCGAAAGGGTTGCACTTCGGTTTAGTGACAATCTTAAGAATAGGCAGGAGAACTCCATGTGACACCGGCACCGGATCTTGGGCTCCTCGTCGAGGTAACCAACCAGCTTGGTTTTTAAACTTTGCCCTGTGGCGAAGAACCTCAAACAATGCCGAAAACACGCAGTTGAAGGGGAGATAAACTCACATATGCGCGATTTGTTTGGGTACAATTAATCGATCGTCCCCTACAAGTGCTCGACCAGTTGCCTTCACACGCTTCTCTCCATTGGCCGTCAATGGAATATCAGTTGAGCCCGTGTGCTTGCCGCTTAGCGACCATTCGGTCTCGCCATGACGAACGATGAATACTCGAGGGGTTGTCATTGCTCCCAGCCGGTAGTGATCCCTCAAAATATTAGAGCGAGTTTAGCTGAGATGAGGTGCGCTGCCAACGAGTCGCAGCTAGGAGTAGCAGGGCTGGGGAATGTCTTTGATGTAAGGGCTGAATCCTATGGTATGTGTATATGAATCCTGGAAATAATCGTGAGCTACTGGTCTAACAGTGCTAGATCCCGTGGACGTATATACGTTAAATACACTCCAACGGCCTTATACCGGTTGATCTTTTGACCGTTGCGTGCGGTAGACTCGAGGAGGCAGCCTTGTAATAGATGTGGCGCAAAGTAACCCCCCCAAAACGATAAAGGATGAGAGCGGATATAGAAATCAGCAATCTACTTTTAGATGGTTCTATGTAAGACGGGAATCAAAATCAACTAATGGGGAAACTAAGCGTCATAAGTCGCTTAGCTTGTAGCTGCGATATCCGTGGCTACTATCAAAGATTGGGCTTTGAAAGTAAAACTATTGACTTCAAAGTAGAAGCAAGTTTATGAATAAAAGTAAAAAGGCCCAAGTCTTACCTCTCGATGATGTCGTTCCTGGACCTTGTAAGTGGATTACTAAGGGCCATATCCCTGCAAGCCAGAGGATCCACTGATAGGCCCCGCGAAGCCGGCGGCGGACCGAGCGGCGCCGACTTTTTCATCGCGGAGCTCGAGCTCCAATCCTGTCCCGCTACTGCTCAACCTCCAACTTGTTCAACTTCGCACGACTCCGAGATCATTACAAATAGCCCCGCCGAGCCACATATCCATATCCAATTGCCCGAGCCGCCCGAACCTCATAAGCTTTATACCGGAAGAAGAATTACGTCACCGTCGCTATTAGTTCTACATCCGATTGATTCTGCTAGCTCGTTCAATAGCGGAAGCAATAGCAATAGCAGCAGCAGCAGCAGCAGTAGTATTAATATCTCGGAAGGGAGGGGAGGAGGAAGAACAAATCCTCACGGTAATGACGCGGTAGACCGGCGACAAGCAAAAAAACAACGGGAGAGCCGTGTCTGCTGGAGGGAATACTGGGGATAAATCAAAGAGACACAAACCATGGCAGTCCGACCACCACAACCACCAACCCAGCACCGTCCCCCGCGCCCAACAAGACGAGGCCCCGCTCCAAGTCCAACCAGCAATAAGATAGCCAGCAAGATAGCCAGCGGAATATCCGGCATAACAGTCAAGCGACTAGTCTGGACAGGCGCCTTCGCCGCCGTTACCATCGTCGGCGCCATCTACGGCGCGGGCCTGAAGACGCAATCCGATTTCAAGCAGGAGAAGCGCAAGATCGTCGAGGCTACGCCCGAGGACCGCATCCGCGATCTCGAGGCCCGCCGCGCCGCCCTCGTCGCCCAGAAATTCCCGTTCGAGAGGAAGTTAACTGATCTGAGGGCGAGGATGAGCGCGCAGGAGGGGAAGGATGATGTGGGAGGTGAGGGGGTGGGGGGTAAGAAATGAGGTTAGTTGAGTTGGGCAAGACTGGTTATGAGAAAATAATAGGGCTTTAAGATAAAGTGAGTACGGGAAAAGGGGATTGGTGGACGAACTACGGAAGACTCGATGAATTGCTAGGATTCATCTTCCTACGTTACTCCAGTGGAAATTTACGCCACGCGCCTACGAGAAACGTAAATAGTGGCTATGATAGCCTCCCACCCTACCCTTCAGATGAGATGAAGGACAAAATGCCTCAATAGAGGATATGTACCTAGTCCAAGGACGCACCGCGTAATACGGCCACGCGTTGAACGCCCTTGAAGAGAGGCATAGACATAGAAGAAAGACATGTATATATGAAAAATGGCGTATGGAGAAGACATTAGGGACTAGGTAGGGAGTCGAAGATTTCGAGATGGAGTACACGTAGCATTAAAACCTACATGAGAAAACCCGAGTTCAAAGTCCCGACCAAATGTGGCAAGACATCTATTTTCCGAACCGTACCCTATCGAGGGAAAGCGAGTCTAATGCTAGCCATTGTATTCTCCCCCTTTGCTTGTCATGCACTCAAAACGCCCGTATGCGATGTCATGTCCTCGTCAATTTCGTATTCACTCGATTGTGCCCTCGGCAGAAGGCAGCGGGATAGCGCGGTAGAGCAGGATGAGAGCCGAGTGCGACTCGCCACCTCCGGCTAAGGCTTCGATCTTGTCTGCCGTTACCTCTGACACCTTGTCGTCGTTAAACCACCACCACTTTCCGTCCTCTTCCTTCCGCTTTCCGGTCTTGGCATCGACCGGGGCCGTCTTCTTGACGTAAGCCGTGTAGTGGCCGCTGTCAGCGCTTGCGCCCTGGTGCGTGACGACACCTCGTAGTTCGTACAAACCGGACTGGTTCGCGCCATCGTCATTTGCTAACGATGGGTCAATGAGAGCATTTAGTTCCTTCTTAGCTGCGAGAAGAGCTGCGTCGCGTTCTGCGTCAATCTCGGCATCCGTCTTGTAAGTCTCGCCCATCTCTACGTCGCCGTCCGCCGAGGTGCTAGCTTTGCTTTCTTCCTTCTTATCATCTTTCTTCGCGCCCTTACCACCTGGAATATCGGCCTCGTCCTCACCAGCGGCATTCCGCTTACGTCGCTTGCGCGCACGTTCAATATCTTCCTCATCCTTCCGAACTTCTCGGACCTTGTCTCTGACGGGAACAAGCATTCCCTTTAACTTGTCGTCGCAAAATTCCACAAGGTCCAACTCGTGGGGGAAAGTGACCTTTCGCATGATCTTGGCCTTCTTTTGAGTTTCTCGCTTCCAGAAGAAACGAACGAAATGCACTGTTAGGTACTTGGGTAGTCGTGAGATTTTAGAGGTCTTGGTATAGACAGCATCCCTGCCCAAGACTTCCGATCTCTTCTCCACCTTCTCGCTTAGACCATTCGCAATTCCGTCTCGTAGGTGGTTCGTATTGCCATCGATGTGGCAGTTCAACTTTAGGAAAGCTTCTTTCGAGACCACAGGCTGCTCTCCGCCTTCTTTAGCCGCAGGCTCATCGCATTCGAGTTCGGATGTAAACTCTCCCTGCATGTATTTATCGATAAAGGAAGTCTCGGGCGCATCGGGCGCATCCTTTACGCGCAGCTTTTGGCGCAACTGAGTGACAATTTGAGACCATGCCTCCTCCGCATCCTGCTGAGCAAAGCCAGTGCCAGTCCGCGAGCGCTCGGCAAACTGAGGGAAAGCAGTCTGCAATGCAGTTATAAACACTTGGGGGGTGTAGGCCTCCTGGGTCTGGGACATGTATTTGTAGAGCTCTCGCAGTTGCCTGGTCAAATCCAGGGTCGACAAGAGATCAGTGGTACTTGCGTTCTGGGGTTCATACTTGGTCAAAGCATTCTGGAGCTCCGGAATAGCGCGAAGGGTCTGGAGCGTGGAGTTAAGGTAGCAGGTATTGCCGAGGTTAACCAGGCCAGCGGGTATAGCACCTTCTTGCTGAGCTGCTTCGGCCTCCGTCATATCTTCAACAAACTTGATCGGTTCTTTCGGTCGAGCAAGGACCTCCTGGCCTTCCTTCCCTGGGGTTCCAAGCATCATTATAGTCTGACCGGGCTTGAAATCGAACTTGCCCATGGGGGTATCATCCTTCACTTGGCCACCCTTGACCAAGATCTTTTGGCGTTCGGGCTCTACGCCTGTAACACTGTAAAGCTGGAACTTGAACACATCACCGGTCGACTCGGGATCGACGTCAATGTCATACTTGGTTCCCTGGTGTTTGACGATGACTAGTTATACCAAGTAGAGAACATATTAGTGGGCATTTCTTAAACAACATAGAGCTAGGATCTGCAGCTCGGGGTGCTCACCTGGTATGGTTGCCATCTTGTCGTGCCTCTAATGATATGACCTTCACTATTCTTTAGAGGTTCTCCGTAGCTAGGGTTAAACTAGAAGACGTTGTCGAAAGGGGGAAGGGGGAAGGGGGAAGGGGGAAGGTGGAAGTGGAAATAAAATATATTTATTCGTCTGGCAATAAGCTTTAGGTTAGGCAAGGCAAGGCAAGGCAAGGCAAACTCGTGGTGCGTCACCCCCAATAATCGATACGATTCTACCCGCCTTTAGGGAGTTTCAACTGAAGTGGGTCCCCGCTGCGGGGCTACAGAGATGTGTCAAGCCACAAGCAGGCAACCTTGGAAAAGAAGAATCCACCTCCACCAATCTTAATTCGACGTCACGTGTCTATTTTATTTATTTACATAGCAAATCGATAAGGTCAAGCTTAACCGTTAGGCTGCTTAGCTGTACAATCTTTACCCCCTAGAAGGTACGTATCTCAGCTGCGTAATGCCCCACATTAGACCTTAAGGACGTCGTAATTAACTTAAAGAACCGCTCTCAGGCTGGGAATTGCTTCACCCCACACCCATTGTAGGACAAACACCAGGTTAGGGGACTGACCGCTCTACGCACCATGGTATACTCTACGCCCATCTCCTATATTAAAATCACCTACTAACTTCGAGTCTCAGTCCCAATCTCTCCGCCCCTACCTCCAATGCGTGCGGAGCACTCTCACGGCCGCCCTTTGCCTCTCTAACTTTGCCTCCCAAACTTCCGAACGACACAATGTTCCCGAGATCGAAGCCCAGACTTCTCCTGAAGTTCTGCTCAACCCCTTAGTCATCTCCCGCAATGAGAACGAGAAGGTCCTGATCGAACCCAGCATCAACAGCGTCCGAATTAGCATCAAGATCAAGCAGGCAGACGAGATCGAGAATATCCTAGTCCACAAGTTCACCCGATTCCTCACCCAGCGAGCCGAAGCCTTCTTCATCCTTAGGAGGAAACCTATCAAGGTATTCCCGCCATTTCTAGTAGAGCTACCGTCGTGTCCATTGTAGCTAATCTAGTCCGAATAGGGTTACGATATTTCCTTCTTAATTACCAACTTCCATACCGAGGAGATGTTGAAGCACAAGCTGGTGGACTTCATCATCCAATTCATGGAGGAAGTAGACAAGGAGATTTCGGAGATGAAGCTGTTTGTATGTCATCTTAGGATTGACCCCCTATAGTCAGGATCGACTAACCAAAACTAGTTGAACGCACGGGCAAGATTCGTGGCGGAATCTTTCCTAACACCCGTAAGTTCCTTCTATCAACCCTTTTCTCGGCAATTTACTAATATCATTTTCAGTTTGACTAAAAGATACGCCCATGGACTGGGTTTCTTCCCGGCCAAACTTGGAAAGAGAATAAGGCACGAGCTATGAAGCTGACAATTCACGGAGATGCAAGAACTGACATACCCAGAGCATAACTGGTTGAGGCCGTATAAATGGAGACAGCGAACTCCAACAATATGCATTACCTACCTAGATATAAAATGATAGCAAACAAGTGATTTCAGGTTACCATTTGATCTATCTAGCCAACGGGTATTGATGTAGTGAAGTGATTTACCGGGCAATCTTTTATACGACTGCTTGAAATTGTGGTCTCAGATGTAATCGCTTTGTATTGAAGCTCTTCCACTCGTCGAATGCTTTCATGTTTAGTTCGACGGTCTCTATTCTACATATATTATACTTGCCGATACTGCCAATATACTGTCGTCTCATTTTACACGCACAAGTTGTATCTAAACGAGGCCGCTGTCCTGTGTCTAGATGTCATAATTTTCGGTCATCCAAGTAAGGAATACATCCTCCAGAGAGCCAATCTAATAGATTATCCTACACCTATTCGTTTTACGTCTTTCCATGCTCGCAGTGCTTCGTGGCCTTCGGTTCTTCGTATCAGTTTAGTGTAGATCTTTCCCGGCCGGTACGTTGCCGAGGTATAAAAGCATTGATTTTTTTATGTATCCATAGCCCCAATACCACAATCCTATGGAAGTCTCATTATGCATTGGAAGATGATCTGTGGCATATCAATATACCGGTATCAATATGACTTATACTGGACCCGGGGCCATACTATTAATTACCTATCATCGGCCAAAGGACTTAGTTGCACCACGAATGTTATTCTACGAGGTATACCTAATTGTTAACAAATTACGTCGACAGACACAATGTCGAATATATAAAATTGGAGGAGAGGAGACCAATATGGATCATAAGACGAAGACGTAACTAATAGCGTATCTGTGGCCAAAGTGGGATTCGACTTCATCTATTATTTAACAAAATTTGCAAGATCATTTCGTCTATCTCGCCATAATTGACCAAAAGATGATAAAATTGATTACCTAGCAGCAAAGGTCCTAATTATTGGGGTTTATGACTACCGGTACTGTGGGGAAGACGAGATCACCAAAATTATGGCTCGAATTGTAGAGTTGGATATAATTATCGTTAGGGCCAACGGTCATATATGAAGTTAATTCCAGGACGCGATTACGATCACGAACTATTAGATGGTCTAGTCTGAATATTTCCGTTGCAGCCATACCTACCTAAGGTAGAGAAGGGTGATGAACTAACATCGAATACTAGAAAACCAACCGTTTCACCTCGCGTGTGCCTCCTTAGTTGACGCTTTACTCTTGTTATTAAACATATTGCTCTTTAAACCCTGCCTACGGCCATCGGCGGTTTCACTTTACTTTGTAACTGAGTAAGTATTATTGGTTAGGTACGCGAAGCTTGTAATGAACGCCTTGGAAGTAGCTCGGTTGGGATATTCGCGCTCTTGCCTACTTGTAAACCGGGTGGACCACGATACCTGAGGTTTCGTTCGGCGGCATCTCGAGTACCTACCTCTCCTACCTCTCCTACCGTAGGGAGGAAAGACCGCTGCTTGCAAATAGCAGCTCTTACTGCCATAATATCACAACGCTATCTCTACCTAGATATCATCTGAAGGACTGCGGCCTATCAAATCTCGGGGTAATGAGGCATGCACCAGATCCCGTAACGGCAGTTATCTTGCCTCAACTTCGTTAAGCACCTACCTTCCAGTTATTCCTCCCTTTCCTACCTTCCTCTACAACCAATGGTAACCTTGATACCCGAGGGTTTGTTTAAGCCGGCTCGTAATCTCCTCGTTACTTCCCTACAATACAATATCCTCACCGCCCTAAGTCTCGAGGAGAATCTATTTAACAATCTTCGCAGAGTAGTCTTGTGAATCTAACTTGACTTCGTCTGTTACCTCTTTTCGGCGTGGTCCTAACTTCCTTAGTCACCTAGATACATACGACGCCGTCCTGGTTATCCAGTAGGTATTTTCAAATCCCTTTCCCCTCCCCTTCGAAATAATAACTCTCTCGACTTTTATTAAATACCCTGACTCACAAGACTTAAAGCTTGGACCTTGGTGATTCCATATCTGGTACGTATATTCCCTCCTAAATTCTCCCAATTTCATTGGTTGCGTAAGAATACCTTGGTGTTTCTAACTTACACAATCAGATAGCAGACATCATCCAGATATCCTCTGGATACCTTTCTCCCCACTGTGGTCTTTTCAGCAGAGTTCGGTTTTATGAAGAGACAGGCATTTTAAGTAGGTATCTACTACCGACCAAGTACATAGTGAGTAAACCGCTTTCGAACCCCCATATTTCAAGATTACCTTGTTGCCCTGCACCCCTGATTCTTTATTTCCTTACTACTTGCCAATTCCTCTTGTTCATGAAATTACTCTTTTCGCATATTGAAGTCAATTCATGACGTGGGACTTTTTCTTGACGAACAAGTCCCTAGGCAACGGTCAGACCGCCGTACCCTCGCTTGCACACTTTTAGCCACTATCACCAACCCCGTTGCATCACACCACTTCAAAGTTGCCTTGTATTGACAGCTGCCGTCGGTGCATTGGTAATTACCTATACTTGGTACCTTACGTACCTTTACACACACCTCTACACACAAACCTGCCAACCCAATTTTATTTAACAGGCATCCCGCACTTCCAAATATTCTTTCCTCCTGTTACACCTTCAACACACTTTCAACTTGACACTTTCAATAACGCCTCCCCCTTCCCCCTTCCCCTTTCCCTTTCCCTCAAGACTAACCTATTTGTACGGATAGTTTATGAAGCTTGTGTGGATATCAATCGACAAAGTAATTCGCGATCCATTCACATTAGCACGCACATTCACCTGGAAGTCTTAGGACTACTACACCTTGGACTTCCACCTCAACAAGTCATTACTTCTTGTTCCGACTACTTCACTTATCCCTTTAGTGTCTCCTTACAACGCTGGTCGCGACTTAACAACAATTAACTTTTTCATGTAAGTGTTTAACCTACCTATTCTCCCGCGCACTACTACTAGAACACTGGCCCCTTCAGTAATAAGTCATCCATCAACACGTACTAGAACAACTACTCGGTTACTTGAGTAATACTAACTTTACATATTGCTTAGTCTAGCCATATTGCATTTATCTCTCATTGATATACGCGAATATGTCTGGAACTACAGCTCCTGGTAGCCGATGGGCTAACTCCAAGCTCCCCCGACAACCCCTAACCGCGGCTTTGAATGCTACTTCGCATGAGGGTAGTGGCGCGGGTGCTCCTGCCCAAGGCGCTTCTCTTAACATGAACATTAGTTCTTCCGAGGCTGGTAGCCATCCTATGACTTACACCACTGTAAATACAGTGAACGGCGCTGAGATGGCAAGTGTGGCTACTATTCCTAGCGGCAGCTACTCTATTCCTAGATCATTTGATCCTATGTTGATGGGATCGATGGCTGGCACAGCTGCCTCCAACAGCAACAACGAGAAGGTAACAGATCCCACCCCCACCCCCAAGCCCAACCCTACACCTATGTCTTGCCACTTAATAGTTGTCGATGATGATTAGACTTATCCCATATCCTTCCTTTATCTTTACATAATAAATGAGTTTGTCATGCTAATTGATTTACCTCTACTTCTACAGGCCTCCTCGGTGGAAATGTTCATGAACATGCACCAGGCTCAACAGAATCTACAGAACTTCCCTAATGGGGTTCCCTTCAGCCAAGCGCAGCAGGTAGCTGTAGACAACGCTATGCAGCCATCAATCATAGACCACTCGATGCTGCTTCGCCTTCAGCAGCATTGGACCCCTGCAGATTGGAATTTCCAGAAACGTGAAATGACAGGCATGCCGATGCAGGAAGACTATGACAGAGTTGCCGGTGACCGTCGACAGTCTTGCACCATTCAGAGCGAGAACGAGGAAGTTTTCAGACAGGTCCTCCACAACGTCGCGAATGGTCTGCCCACGACATCCCCAGATCAGAAGGGCGGCCACAAGCGAAAGAACACGACGGTTTCGGCACCGCCTATGACACTCGACACATCCCCCACGCTACTTAGAGGCAGAACCGGTATAACCTCTTCTCAGAGTCAGATAATAGGTCAAGTTGACGCTATGGGACTCTCTCGCGGCCGCCAAACGCCTATCGTTCAGGGCAACCTCGCCCAGTTCACTACGCCTACCAGCATTCAGAGAGTTGGTATACTTGATCGCAATCCTTCAGGCGGTCAAAGCCATAACGGTACCACTCCTACAAGAACTCGGCGAATTAGCCCCCTAGCTCCCCCGGGAAGTCATAGCGCCACCCGATCAGCGCAATCCATCGTCCGTCTCAATACTACTACATCAGGCTCTTCTAGTAGTTCTTCGAGCGGAAATGGCCTTCTAGAGTCATTGAGGAAAACTCAAACAGCTTCTCCCACACCTCTAACAAGAGAGCTGATCCAGCAGCGGCAGGCTCTTGTTAAGAGTCCTTCTAGCCAGCGATCGAGTCTACGATCGACATCCCCGATCTATGGGCCATTGGAGTTCCTTCCTATTCCTGAGGAAATCCAGAAGCTTCGCTCGGACTGGTTGAATCAATTGACAGGACCTAATGGTCAACCTACTGTCGAAGATATGCTTCATTCCAGCAACATGCCGTTTGTTGAAACGTGCCATCTTGCCGAGCGCAGCAACCACGGGATTGTTTGCATTAGTAACGTATGTCATTCACAGAAACGATTGATTATGGACATATGATTAACTTTCTTCTAGATCCCCTATGAGATCACCCGTGCCGAGATCATCGCTTTCTTGGGCCGCAGCGCTCGCATCCTCAACGACAAGGAGGAGCCTGTCCATATTATCATGGACCGCGTTACCAGCAAGACTAATGACTGTTATGTCGAGTTCGTGTCGTTCCAAGATGCCGTGAACGCTGTAGACAAACACCGAGCCGCCATCAAGCAGGAACGCCACCCTAAACTTGGTGATCGCAATGTGGAGATGACAGTTGCCTCTCAGGCGAAGCTCATGAAGGAGCTCTTCCCCACCGCCCATGGGATTGACTGGCACGAATCCCCGTATGCATTCACATTTGGTTCTGAGTATGACTTTGAAAACTTCAAAGGATTTGTCTGTGCAGAAGAGATGGGTATGCTCTACAAGCATGCTGAGGCCAACTCCCACGTAAGTAACTTTCCCCCCTGTTTCGATTATGTTCTCGCTCCTAATATTACCCCCTTATAGGCCTCGTATGCGAAAGGTTGTCCCGAACGACCATTCGAGTGCATGATTAGCACTCTAAAGAAGATGCCGTGGTACCTAACCGAGCGTATCACCATCAAGGAGCGCCATTATATCTATGATACGACATTCAAGATGGTTCATTACTTGAAGGAACTTCTTGAGAGAGGCACGATGCGCCGCGGCCAAAAGCCCGACTTCAATCGCCTCACCAAACAGCTTCTTAACCGACTTGTGAAGGCTGCTATGCTTTGCCCCGGCTTCACCGTGAGCCAGAAGGACAACATTGCGTACACGGCCAACCTATCCGAGCTTGACTTGCGCGATTACAACCAACCTCGTTTTGCTGAGCGCTGGTGCCACCAGTACGCCCTTGGCGTCAAACCCGGTGTCCCTCTGGATGTCGTCGAGGTATGTTATATCTACCCCTATTCCACTGCTTATAGATTGCATTCTAACAAGATTGAACAGTACTACATCGCTTTAATCAGCACCGAGACTTCTCGAGTTGTGGATAACCTTAGCGTCAGCCGAAAGCGCGCCCTGAAGCTCGAGCAAAGCAAGACCTCTGATTACTGGGGCTTCTTCTGGTGCGAGATTGGTTTGCCGTCAGGTCCAGCGTTTGATAGCATGACGCTATCTGACGTTGCTGCGCTAGAGTGGGACGCGATTGAAAGAATCATCCGTCGTGCTATCACGGGAGGACAGCTGCCCTCCTACTAGAGCGGGATGGCCATCTAGACCTTGGGCTATTCAGTTGCATAGACTCGGGGTAGTCACCACCAACTTTGCTTTTGCTATGACGACAATAACGATCGTCACCAACGGGATAACAAATACAACCTCGTTTGATCTCTAGAAGGCCATTTGCTACACCTACACGGTCTTCTCGGGGGCTTATCATGCTAGCCACCATCACCGAATGCGACACCTGAAGGAATCCCTTGCTTGACCAGCTGCGGAAGATTATTGAGGGTGCATCAGCACGTGGCCGCTCATCTGAGCCGCTCGTCCTGGTGGGAATGTCAAAGTTGAGGATCTTAATCAGACTTCGCAACCCTGTAGGCTCTAGACTGAGCGCAGGGGGGATATTTTCCGCACATTTATTCTCCGTATCTACACGGGTAGAGAGGCGCGGGAGAATTAAGACACATGTCTTAGGTCATTATGTGACGATACTATGGGGTAATCTACTACGCCCATTGGAGTCCGCAGATTTGCGATTTGCTGGGAATCCGGTTTCTTTTCTTTTCTTTTCTTTTCTTTTAGTTGAGGCTTCTTTCGTAGATAGCCCAATAAACTATTTCGTTGGTCAACACATTACTTGCGTCCATTATTCTGCCTTTTTTGTGAGTTATTAATGCATTTACAGTGTAAGTCTGGTATAAATTCTGGTATAAGTCAGAATTAGATGGGATGGGATGAAGTTGATATTATTACTAATCGACCCCCGTAACCCCGAATATTGGTCGGGCAGATCGGGGGTAAGTGAGGTGATAGGACGATTATGCAAACCAGTAACTCTCAGATATGTATTTCCCCGCATGAGCTTCTAGTACGTACTATACTTTTATGATGTATTTTACACGCAAGATACAGAGCATAAATACTTACGTGTATGCTAGATGCTCGTACCTTCAATGCAGTAAAGGTTACGTAGGTACCTACCTAATTCAATTATTTGGGAAACAGCGTCCTTGGCGCCTGGTCAAGCAAACCAACTCCACTGTCGACCCGCCAGTTGCCCGCCTACTAAACCTCATCCCACTTCCTGGAACTTTCCATAGTCGACAACCACCAAAACACCAAACCTTACCACATTTCCCCATCTTCCCTCCCCTCCAATCAAGCTGAGCTGAGACCGCACATACCTTTGACCCGAAACTTTTTACCGAAGTCCGACCTCGCCTTCTACTAGGATTTTCGACCGAATCTGCTGTCTGGTCCCTTAAACCAACGAGGCGCAAGCCTCTGACGCAAAACCTCGAGCGAACTGCTATAAACAGTGACGACACAAACCGCCAAAACGGCGTCCACCGACCAACAACAGGTCCCCGCGACCGGCGGGGGCGCAGTTTCAGCGGCATCCACGTCGCTAAATCAAACTTCGACATCTCCGACAGCAACCTCTCCGCGCGGAATGGCTGGCTTAACCCGTCCCATCCTGCAGTCCATGCCGGACACGCGTCAGCAGTCGTTCGAGGAGATCTACGGGCCCCCGGAGAACTTTCTCGAGATAGAGGTAGGTCCCTTCCCGAAACATCCTATTGTTCATATGGCTTCGTGGATGGCGCATAGCCCTACTCAACGAGGCACGCGAGCAAGCTTATACTCTTCTCCTTCTCTCCCCCCTTTACCATTTTATATCCATCACGCGACACAATTGAATCAGCAGTGCGACCAATGGTAATAGTAAGCTGACCAATGGCACTTGGCCATCTGAAACAGGTCCGCAACCCGCGCACGCACGGCACGTCGCGCAACATGTACACGGACTACGAGATCGTGTGCCGGACCAACATCCCGGCCTTCAAGCTACGGCACTCTTCGGTGCGCCGGCGCTATAGCGACTTCGAGTACTTCCGCGACATTCTCGAACGCGAGAGCGCCCGTGTCACCATTCCCCCGCTCCCCGGCAAGGTCTTCACCAATCGCTTCTCCGACGACGTCATCGAGGGTCGCCGTGCTGGACTCGAGAAATTTCTCAAGATCGTTGTTGGCCACCCACTACTCCAGACCGGCAGCAAGGTCTTGGCTGCGTTCGTGCAGGGTGAGTTTACCTTTTCCCCTAACTACAATCTTAATACGGTAGTTTTCCTTTTCACTCGATGGGCTATGAGGGTTGAAATAGGAATATGAGTCTGAGCCGAAGGGGATTACATGAGAAAAAAATTAACCAGATTTGAGCTGTCATGGGGGATTGACGTCAATATGCCGACTATGTTCGAAACTTGATAGCTAACTCAGATCTCCAGACCCTAACTGGGATCGCAACGCCTGGTGACTGCGACTTTTCGACTCGTGGACCACCAATAACGGGGCACAAAATCCCGGTGGCCGTCGCATACCCAGAAAGCTGCGGAAGAGACCGCCTAAACAACTCGTGGAGACTCACTTGCAGGGGGTAGCATCAAAACGTAGTAGCTGGGAGACGGAGACGACATTACGATGAGAAACGAAGGAACCGCTTATATTACTGGCCTGAGCTTTACGGATACGAGGTTAAAGACCAATTGCGTACATCTATTTCATGACGCCTGCGTGGACATAGCTGACTTGATCAAGATGCGGTTTGAAGCCGTCCGACAGAAAATGATGATCAAACTACTAGTAGTCGAGAATGACTTATTTTTGTCGATTTTACCTATATTAATATAATTTCCGCTTTCTATTCTTGCGGTGCTTCGTCTGAGCTTAATTCAAGCAACTGACGTTTTAGTTTGAATTACCACATAGATCCGAGAAATAGCGTTATTATCCGGAGTAAAATTTTAAAGTAAGCTTGCGTTAGTAGAGATGATGCTCACAGATGGCTTACCTAGCGATCAAGTTCAATTATATGAGTGCTTGGAGCTAAGACTGCTGGGACCAGATTAGTACTAGACGAGCATCTAATTTTCAGTGTAAGGATGAGTACCTGACTTTTCTAAGGATGCAGCAAGAAAACACCGTAATAAAGGTGTAACTACCTAGTCAAATTATAGAGCTATGAGACCCTCAAATAATAGCAACCCAACGAGCATACACGTACTTAATACAAGTGCGGAGTCGATGATAATTACAAAAAAAGAAAAGATTCCACGCGACATATAAGACATGTTTAAGCCTGAAAGTCAAATCTATGTCAATTACATAGCGTACCAAACCGGAAGAGAAAAAAAAAAGAGAACTGAGAGCAATTTCGGGGGGAGGGGGCGGGGGGGATGAAAAAGGGAAAAAAAATCGAAAAAGAAATGGAAAGTCGCGACAACGACAGGATTCGAACCTGTGCGACCGAAGTCATTAGATTTCGAGTCTAACCCATTAACCACTCTGGCACGTTGCCTTGATGACTGATGGCCTTTTATTTGGCACTATATACCCTTAGCGTGTGTAAACTTCGGCGAAATTAAGGTGGTTGGTTGGGGCGCTGTGATTCGTGAGAATTTGATGGGGTCTTCTAACTAGCGTACGCTTGGTGGGTGGCCTGGGTGGGTATTGACAATCCACCGTGATACCTATGATGTGATGTCTTGAGTGGATAGATCATAGATGGGAATGAGAACTAAACTTAATGATTTAAAATTCATATCTGTATTCATTAATGCTAGTACTGTCTATAATTATCCTACGTGTCTATACTACATATATTGCTCAGTCGAAATCTTATAATAAAATACTCAAGGGAACGAGGACATGGTACCGCCCTTGCTGGGTTTATGAAGACCTACTAGCTACCTAGAAAAGGTTTTACGTGACTTCTTAAACCAAGTACTTAGATATTTCGTGACCGGTAGATTAGAGGCAGTCATAAGAGATCTCCAAGTCCGGCTGACGAGTCTCGCTATTTATCATCCTGCTTGCAAATTTTAGACTAGATACCGGTGTCTAGTTCGTTCAATTTCGCAGAGACGGAACTTATCTGATCTAACGTAGTATAATCAAGTCTTATACGTAGGCTCACTAGCTCTCCCTTATGCTACATGGTTACATGCATTTTCAATGCATGTGGTCTGAGTGGATCGTTTTTATTTTATCCTGTTCTTCTTTCGTCTTATCTAACATTATTCATCCCCCTTTGCCCTCCCAAACGCCAATCATGCTATGTGTCACTCCGTACACGTATAGATCATAGCTGCCCGCTAGTCTAACTTGCTTGAACATAGTAGGCTAACGAGAACCCTGCCGTGTTTTTGCCTTCGTAATTCTATCGTGACCCAGCCTTTTTTCTATGACATATTTCCGTTTGGTATACAGTAGTGGTGATGTAGCGTCTGCACAGTGTCCATGCATGTGCGTGGGTGGAGATATAGATGAGATGGTTGTTTAGAATGGCTTCATTCGGTGCCTATGGTTCCTTGGATATCCGGTCCAAGCTCGAAAGGTATCGTCAGTCATCTAGCATTGCCTTTTCCTCTTGCCTCATACCCCAAGTTAATATTATTACAGGGTCGTCATAAACGTGTACCGTCGCATTTGTGGGTGTTAGTAGGATTGGAGTTGTCTAAGGGAGCGTTAATACGCGGGTTAGTGCCAGAGGTATTGTTATCTAGCTCTTCGCGCCGAGGAACTTGACGATAACCTCGTACATGCCGAACATAATTGCGGCCGAGGGGATTGTACGCATTAGATGAGGTGTTAGACCGCCGTATAGCCCGATGACGCCCTCCTCCTTCCAGACAAGTTTGAAGCATTGTACGAGCCCCGTATACTTGGGTCTACCATCTGACATTGGTGCTTGTCTGAGCCGAGTCCGCGCGACCTAGCCATCATGTTAGCTACCTCTTCTTTCAGATCACAATTCAATTCTTTGATGGCGCTGTATAATCGCTGTGAGTACTCACCTCATGCGGATACGTCAATATGGACGCTATACCCTTGGCCGTACCGGCACCCATGAAGTTTCCTGTCCGGTCAACTGTACGGTCCCACCAGGTCTTTTCCTTGCCACTTTGCACGATCCGTTCCTCCCGTAGTCTTAATTTGCGTTTAATCTCCTCGTACATCATCCACTGCAGTGTGCTTTCGGTGATGCCAAGATAACTTGCGCTCAGACCTTTGAAGAAGCCCCGCGGACCCTCGTCCCGCACCACCTGCCGGATGCAGTCCCAGCTGTTGCGGTACCGGCGCGCACCTACGTCACCCTTGCGCTCAGCGTTATTCTTGTCAAGCTGCAATCGCGTCTTCACTAGCCATATAGGGTTCGTCGCAGTTCCTGTTGCGATCCCCGCTGTCACCGCACTGGCTAGATGCACAATCGGATTATCCGGGGATGCGTCTAACCACTGCGAGTATGCCCTCTTGCTCGTGGGGTACACGTAAAAGTTAATGCTTCGCGCCGGCACGACTCCGACCAGGTTCGGCCCCAGACCCTTGAACAGTGCCCGCCACCCTTCCAGCCTGTGCACGTCGCGCAAGATCTGGACCGTTTCTTGTAAGTGATACGTGGCTGACTGCAATGGACCAAGGCGCGCCTGGCCTGTTGCTTCTCGCGCTGCTCGGAGCTGGGCTTGATAAAAGTCGGACTGGAGTCGGGTTTTGAGAACATCCAGAGGTGCTGTTAGCACAGCTGCTGTCATGCCTCCGATACTGCGAGAATAGAGAGCCTTAGCGAAAGCCTTGTATGCATTTCTTTTGAAGGGCATTTTCCAGCTTTAAGGAGCTCTATAGACGAGGAAGAGGAATCATGACGTACCCTCCGGCGACCAAGTGTGGCCAAGATCTAGAGAATGGCGACGATGTTGTCGCTGTAGCCTCGGGAGTTGCGAGACCGAGCTCACGAGATTGCGGTAGCGGCGACTGTTGTGGTATCGAAAATGCGCCATCGCGACGCTTTCCGGTGTCGTTCATTGTATAAATCGCATGTGATGGCGGTTGAGCCATGACCCGTTATGGAGATGACGGCTATAAGTCAATTCTTTGCGGCCTGTATAAAACGCAACGGAGAAGCACTATGAATATTTACTACCGACACTCCATTAAAATGTTCAGAATTATGAGCTTATTAGAACGGCGATTTGTAAAGAGTGGGAAACGTTCGTTTAAGCTGTCGACAAGTGAGTGGAGGTATGTTTAAATTTGGAAAATTTGAAACTAGAAGTTCGCTACTGAAGACGTCAAAGAATTGCAATTAGATTTGACTTTTTTTAATGGGTACCGCCGCCACATTGTCTTATCTTGTCGCGTCTAATACATAGAACAGCCCTAACTAGCGCGCTTCCCGACTTTCAATTAAGTGGGTCCCGGTCGACTGTGCCTCAAACACCCGCGAGCCCGGTTTTCGGGAAGTTTGGGCATGTAGGCTGGTAGGCAGGTCACCCCGAAGGAGGCCAGGGGGGGGTCAGATATGTATAATGGATTGTAAGACACTTAGTTGAGCCTCGCTGAGACTCGGTGTCTTACATCAGGTTATTCAGCACAATTTTAACCTCATCCCATTGCCAGAACCGAGTAATATAACTTAAAATTTTCAATTTCTCGTTGGTCGAATAATGGTAAGCGGTAAGCAAATGAGCAGACATGAAGTTGTAATGCACGCCTTCTCCCAGCCGTATGCTGCCCGGGTATATACAGGTTGCCAACACCTAAAGAAAACCCGCATGTACAAATCCACCCACGTATATATGACATATGTACGGCCAAGTGATTGTTGTCTTGCTCTCGTTCCGATTATTCTGAATTCTGATGACCCCCGCGCGAAATCGCAGCAGCATCTGCCGCCGCGGACGCGACGGAAGCCATGTGGCTAAGCATTGACTTTTGCTCCCTAAACATCCCACTAGCTAATTCTTTCCTTGGATATTCTTGTCCCTGACGCACATCTCTTATATCCACTTCCATAGTTTCATGCCTACTTATTGGTGTCTCTGGTCCCTTTCTCCAGACATCGTCGGCAGGTCTACCGATGGCTATCCTCGAACCAGACCTGCTCGTGCTAGGTTCGTCGCTGCGTTCCGATTCCCTACGACGTTCGCCGAATTCGAGATGCGATTGGGATCCGAATACAGCTCTACCGGAATCCCTTGGCTCATCTCCGTCGTCATCTCCATCTCCACCAGCTTCTCCTTTAAGCCAAGCCACCTCCTCTTCTGTAAGGCCCTTCCATACACATCTTGCGTGTTTCTTGGTGCATCCCTGGCAGGCAGTTAGATGTTTAATGCACACTGTCTTGAGCCTTCTGCATCTGTCACATGGTGGATGTATAGCGTCTCCACGTGCTAGTCTCTCGATCTTAGCCGTTACCAAGGCGCGATTCTCTTCCTCGATATCCCTCATAGCTGGCTCGGTGGGATAGCTAGGTGAAGGCCGGTTGCTGCCTAGAATAGTTTGCTGCTGAATAGAGGTTCTCGGTGTCGATGTTGCGGTGCCCATTGGATTTGGGGTTGGTGGTATAGAACCAACGGAAGAGATCCGGTGACTAGAAGGTTGGGAGGGGGCAAGGAACTGCTGAAGAAGATCGGCATGTAAGTCGTAACCGGGGTTGGCACCGGAGCCCAGCGACTGATTTACAGCTTGGAAGTTGGGACCGGAGGCTGATTGCGACGCGCGACGCGCATGTATAGACGCTTTTCGTCCGCTCAAGTGGTAGTTGAGTTGGCGGGCCCTACGCGCCACTTCGTCCGCCTTCTTGATTAAAACCTGTAGGCGCTGCTCGACAATTTCGAGAGTTGCTAATTCCGCCGTCTCGTCTTCTTCTAGCGGTTGTGGTGGGACAAGCCTAAACCTGTCCAAAGCGCCAGATACTATTAACCTCCAGTCATCTTCTCCGATTTCGACCTGGACGCCTTTCAGGGGAAACTGGCAGCAACGCCCACCATTAGGAGTAGGTGTCAATACAAACTCCCCGGGTTTTGCCTTAGCAAACTCGACAATGTCAAGCCACGTGACCGGGTCAGGGCTAAATATCGTTTGTGGCGGAGTTGTCGTTATTGAACCTTCAAAGGCACCCTCCATCGCCTTCAGCAGGCGGCTACCCGTCAACTTTGCTCCTAAATTAGAAGCAAGGCTCTCATGTCTATTCAACACTCCTGAGTCATCGCGTCAGTCCTTGTATATTCAAGGAAGAGTAGTACAAGGTGGAAACGGCTCACCCTCATACTCGTTGACTAGGGTGAGAACATCGGAGAAGGTATCGCTGTCGCCCTGTATGAGCTTAAGTTTGACCGGATGGGCCTTGGACAGATAATTGATAGGGGCTATCGTGCCTTCGATATTGATAGGTTAGTATCTTTCTACGGAGCGGCTGCACTCCCGGCCGTGACCGGGACGTGGCCAATTGGACTCATATTGCGAATGTGTGATAAAATAGTTGGATATAATGATACGATACATAAATAAGGTAAGAGTATTTCATAGTAGGACATAGTGATGATAAAGAGATGGAAGCCAATGTTACATACGAAACAAGGCGTAACGATATCATCGTGTCCCAAATGGAGGTTACCTATGAAGGTGTGGATATGTGTAAGTGTGTATGGGAGGGTGAATGGGACTTACCTGACTGAGGTGGAGGCGGTTGTGGTATGCGGTCAGCATGAGGCGCTTGACTTCCATTGTCATCGGATATGTCTCTTTTTCGTTTATGTTGATCAGAATCTGGATTGTGCGCCATCCCAGCACGCCTCACGGTTGAGAAATTTACAGATACCTCTTAAGCTTTGGTAGGAGTCTTGATATACAAAATGGTTTGCAGCTTTAGAATAACCGATTGACACGTCCAATTAATTCCGTCGCTAGAAAATACGAATTGACATATATGAGTATAGAACAGGATGAGTGGGGGGTTCGCTTGACGTTGCTATTTCTGTCCGAGGGTTTGAGAAGGTGATGTGATGTATTATAAGGGTAAGCAAACAGCGGGAGCACGCTTTATTACGAATTAATTCTCCAAGTCGCAGATGGGCCGAGAATCGCGAAACCCCCGGGAGCGGTACGCAGATTGCGAAGTTAGGGCTGCCGAGCTTTTGGGCTTTTCTGTTTTTCTGTTTTTCTGAGCTCGGCGGCCGTCATAGGAACGAACCTTTAGATTCGTTTGCAGTAAGTAAGCAGCTTCAAAATAGGGGGAAATAGGTTCGAACGAGGAGCCAAACAAATTAAATGGAGAAGGAAGAAAAGGGGGAAGCCAATATAGAAACATATGATGTATTGAGGGATTGAGGTATGGATATATGGAGGTATTGAAGTACGTGTATGATAAAGTAAGCAAGTGAAGTATGGTGATACTCAGCCTCGACGCAAATAGAAAATACGGAGTAAACTACCGTGAGAATGGGCTGGGGATAAGGGAATTTCGGAAACCGGGGGATTCAAAAGACGCGGGGCTCAAGATGTCTAGTGTTCAATACATACCTGGTAATTGTTGATCTCTAGATTATGAACGTACCTTGTAGTTCGGGGAGACACGGCACGGAACGATGCCGTAATAGTATAGTATGTACTTACCTAGGTAGGTAGTATAAAAATCAATTAAGATAGGATAAAGTTGCTTATAGAATCTACCTCTCAATGTGGCATGTTGGCAGGTTGGTGAAAAAGAAACCCGCCCACAGATTTTACAGACGGCAGTTTACTGGGATCCAAATGCGAATAGCAAAGTGGGTTAGGTATACCTAGGTTAAGGTACCTAGGTACTCTTTTAAGCTTGCTGGTTTAGGTAATAAGACTCGATAAGCAGCTTCCTATTGATGGTTTTTTTGCCCCAAGCTCTGCAGGCCAATTGAGCTGAGGTAAGAGCACAAGCCACCTCTAGGAAGGTAGGTAGCTAGGTACATACCTATATGCTCCTACCTTTATATTTGTGCATGTGTGATATGTACATAAGGTATAGGTATACCTAAAACATTACGTAAACAGTAACTATACATTTATGTTAGTATATGTTTGTAGTAATCTCATATTAAAGATGTCCTGGTTAAACCATTCTCTCCCCTCTTCTAACTTCTAAATTATAATGGGGTAAGTTGTATGCTCATAGGATAATACGCAGGTAGATATCAACAGAATGACACCTGACCAAAAAGTTGAAGTTTAGCGACATCTCGGCTGTTTACATGAGCTTCACGGAATAGAGACCGAAAACTCTCCATCTTCCGTTCCCTTTTGTCGCTCGCTTCCTATTGCCTCTCCGGACTCGCCTCGGGACCCTTTGCAGCTTGGTTAACCCTAGCTGTATACAGGAGAGGATCATCGACGCTGAAATTCCGCTCTTTTTAGACTTCCCGACCGTGTGATCCCTTGTCGCCGCACAAAAGAAGGAAAAGATCGACGGGCTACATGAGTTTGGCGTTGAAACCCACTTGTGGTGATGGATCTAAGGTGCGTTAGACTAATAAGCAAAATTTCGAATGGATGCGATTTGAAGAATACGGTTTAGGGCCCTCTCAGCTCAAGGTCTGTTCTCTTGAGGTAGTGAAGAGCGCGAGTTGACAACTTCCATATGCACTTTTTATTCACCTTAGTTACATGCTTTTTGAACTTTTCTTTCCTATTTGTTTTTGCTTTCGCCATGAACTATACTCCCCACATCCGTATTCAGCTACTCTTGGTACGGTACGAAACAATGCATATTTACAGCTTCGGAAGAAGAGATGTGATATACTCTGCAGCTTACATCCCTGAGAGCCGCTAGAATAGATAGAGGTGCTGCCGAGCTTATATCCCTACATTTGCAGGACGCTACTCAGATGCTGCATACAGGCCACTATATGAGGTATGTAGTCCTTCGTCGGGTCCCCTTTATGTAAAATGCTCTAAATGCCCCTCTAAATGCCCCGCCCCCCCGGGGGGGGGGGGGGGCCCCGGCGCGCGCGGCCCCCGCCCCCCGGCCCCCCCCGCGCACCCCGCCCCCCACCCCCCCCCGCCCCAAGCCCGACCCCAA